TACGGCGCACGGCGATAATACGAGGAAAAGGTGCCACACATAATGCAGAACTTACGCCGTGCTTATCGTCACTCCCTCCTTCCACATAAGACACGCACAGTTTTAGGCAAGGGAAATTCCCACGCCACACAGAGCGGTCATATACAGAACTATACATAAATACCAAGTCTCTCTTACAATGGGAACAAACAAAAACCACCACCACCCTTTTTCTATCCAGATATAAAAACAATAATAATAGAAATCTAAAGATACATATATGCTCGGAGCAAATGCATAGAAAAAGAGACACACATGAGAATCAAAAGAAATCGAAAAAAAAATTCACTTGGAAGACCGAACAAAGCCTCATTTGCTGTGCTCATCTATTATTCCTGTCACAGTGATAGAGCACAAGCCCGCTTGTTGTCACCTCAGTCGACCGAACCTTAACGGAGGGCTTGACTGGAACAGCATAGGGAACGGGTCTGGTAGGCACCTTCACAGCCAATCCTTTCTTGTGCAGCTCCGGCGCGAGTGTGAGCTGCGAGGTACTCGAGACGTCTATTCCACGCACCTTTGCCTCTTCCTGATTCACGCGATGCATAATAAAATTTGCCTCGCCGTTCAACACCATCACGCGAAGGTAGCGCCACCGAATAAGTGCCCGCTGCCGTCCGGCCTCATATGACGCATCAGCAAACCGCGCAAGGGCGGAAGTCATGATAAGAAATGCAGTGGCTCCACCAACGTCTGTGACGTTCCCTAGCGAGGAGCGTTGAAACACGGCGGTGGGAAGTCGTTGAACCTCATGAGTTCGTTTAACTCTCATACGCAGCCTACCAATGTTCTCCGGTGCTTCCCCAGGCAATATAAAAGGCGTCTTGCTGTAGTACGAAACTCGCCGAATTTCGACGTCTTTGAAATCAAAAACCTCCAAATTCTTGTCGAGAAAAAAGTCTTTTGGCTTTGTGGGGGCCGTTTCCTGCGGCACCGACAACCCTTGCGTATCCCGCGTCTCACCAGAGTCCTTTGTCGGTGTCGAGCTGCTGCTGGAGGAGCTGTCATCGCTGTCCTCCGTTGCCGTCCGGGTGGAGCCCCTTCGCCTCTTTTTTCGACGTGCCGCCTTTTCTTGTTCCCGCACCACCCCCAAGCTGGAGGCAATCCACTGCCTCGTCTCTGCGTAGAAGTTTTCCGCCCACGCCGCGACGTCAGAGTCCTTGTCCAACACCGCGACAGGGCATGCCGGGTCTGGCAGGAGTTTGTCAGTGTGAACCGCGTTCCGAGGATGATACAAGACCGCGAAGCGTTGGGCGTTGTTGCCGCCACGGGTGCTTGGCAGCAGCGGCAGGAGGGTGGGGTCGCTGCTGAGGCGGTGCGCCCGGCCAACCAAGAGATTGGGGTCGGCAACCTCGTCAGAAAAGAAGCGGAGTTCCTTTTTCCTTTCACCCCCCGACATCAGGCGAGAGAGCTCGTTCTCCAAGACGCTTTGTTCTTCGTCCCACCCCACGCTGGAGTGCCCCCCGGTGCTGCCGCTCCGCGAATTGATTGAGGTGGCGAGTGAATCCACTTCGCCAAAGGCAATAAAAGTGTCCGCCGGGTTGGCGGCGTGTGACGTTCGCCGCTTTAAAAATGGCGTGAAGAGAAGCATGACGTAGTCGTCCGTCGCAAGGCCACCGTGCATGACGATAAGTTTGTAGGGCGCACGGGCTCCTCCACGCATCGCCGAGGACTCCGTCGTCGCGAAGGCGTACTTCCGCTGAAAGCGTGAAACGCCGCTGGCGGAAAAGACCGGCAGCGGTCGTTTACTCTCTATCGAGGCCCTACCGCGCTGTCCCGCAGCCCTGATGCGTTGGTCGGCCACGGAGCCGCGTCGCGAGGTTTTGCGCGCCATCAACTCCGCCAACACTCGTCTGGGAAAATTTATGGGGACGACGGACCACGTCATGTCACGCAGCTGCAGTCTAAAAAAACCATAACTGGTCAACTTCGCCCTTGCCCGGTTTTTCGAATCGGTCGCCACCGACGAGGAAGACTTCTCCACCTTTCTCCACATTAGAAAACTCTCAATGGAGGATAACAGCATTGGAAACAGCCATTCCTGGCGGCTATCGTCATAGACGCCACCCAGGCTAATCACGTCTCGGATAAAATATTCCCAGACGCTAGTGATGCGGAATGGAATGGGAGTTTCTGGAGAAGCCGGAGTATTGACTTCCACCCACATACCGGAATGCACATTCATCATGAATACACTGGGTGTATCACATGGAGCAGTCAGCAATACAGTTTCCTCCACGATTCCAATAACGATGATGGAGCTAGTTGAGCTGTGATATGTTGCACAGCACTGTTGCACATGAAGCGGGTTCACGGAATTCGGTCCGCGAATTCCATTCCATACTCGGTTTCTAATATCAAAGGAATGTGCGATGTACATGTTGTGTTGACGCTGATGAAATCCTCCAATAACCACCATTGCCTGCGTTGGCGGCACGTACACGGCCACATGTGAAAAGACAGGCCCAGGCCCTTGGGCTCGCTCGCAATTCACCTTCTCCCACCGCATGTTTTCAAGGTTGACAATGTACAGATCATCAAGCACCTCCAAATTACGATGGCCACCAAACACGATCATTTTCCTTTCGTGTATGATGGCACTGTGGTTAGCGCGTCCTCCTGGAACCACACCAACTCCACGCATCTCCCGCCACTGCAATGTCATTTTAACGTTGCAAAAGATGCCAGTCGGGTAGACATTCTTGGGCCCATAGCCCCCGTAGAGGTACAAGTCATGCCTGTAGACCACAATGGTGTGGCCAACCCGCTGCAGGCCGCTGTTCAACTCGGGCAAAACCGCCCCCCGATACGAGGTAATTGGTATGTTGTCGTCACCTCCACTTCTTCGATCGGAGGAGGGCATGCTCCGCCGCCGTGACATCTTGGCCGGCCAAACACGTGCACCGCCACAGAGACGAGAGTTTTTCTACTTGCGTCGTTTTTTTTTTTGGGGGGAGGTAAAAAAGAAAAAAATGAGAGGCAATGCACCTCCTCCCCTCTTTCTCACGCACACAGACAGACACCCAGATACGTACAGAAAAAAATAAAAGGCGCAAAAGGACCGCATAAACACGGAGAAAAATGAATTGAGGCCAACGTGCAAAGCAGCAGTAGAAAAGATAGGAAGCAAGTACAAAAAAAACAAACAAAAGAGCAGCTGCACACACACACATACACACACAGCCTCAATTCAGGCTGCCTTGTCCTCTCAACAGGGCTGCATTGGAGGTGGTTCATGTATCGCGTGGGGGACGTCAAACCAGAGGCACATTTTAAGCATAAATGTGAAGGGCAGCACCGGTGCAGAGAGGGTCTCAATCAGCTCAACATCTTCTGCACCTGTCTCACTTCCATCCGGTGCGACCTTGTTAAGTCTTTCGACGACTTTCTGCGTAAAAAATCCCGAACCAGAGAAAACTTGTTGTTGGGAGGCCTCGCGTCGAAGAGCCTCGGAAGCGTCCAACGCCATCTGTAACTCGCGATGCAGGCCAACAACGTACCTCATTTTGCTTTTTGTCAGGATAAGCTCAAACCGAGCCATCTCCCTCTCTTCTGGTGTGAGCGGTGAGCCAAGTGCCTGCATGCGGCTCACAAGCACCTCAAGCTCTTCCTCGGCTGCCGCCCGCACACCTCCATCTGCTTCCTCCGCCATAAGTTCCACCTCTGGTGCCTCGCCCCGTATAATTAAGTTGCAGTGCTTCAGCACACGAAGACACCCATCTCGGTTTGAGAAATGTTTGGTACCATTCTTTTCCTCTAGTGCAATGTGAAGATCCTCTGGCGTAATGCCGAGTTGTTGCGCCGTCATGAGCACAGCACGCCCAATGGCTCCCTTCTGCAGCTCCCAACGCTTCTTCTCTCGTGTCAGGTATTCGTCCAGGAGAGCCATCTTCTCCTTTTCATGCTCCTCCACCCCCGTGCCTCGTGGACTAAGTGGGTTCTCAGCGTCATCGCCCTCAGCCAGCGTCATCTCAAAAGAGGCCTCGAGCAGCGTTACCCGCAACGCACTCGGCTGCCTCCAGAAGGGTGGCTTGTCGCAGGCAGAGGCACCTGCATCGCCTGAAGGGGGGTCCTCACTCTCCCCCTTGATGAAGGCCGCGGCGGCGTTCGTGCCAAGCACACGACGGCGCGTCGCTTCCATCGAGAACTCAATGTCCCCCGGTCCCATGGGAGGCACGTACTCCGTAGCACCATCTCCGCCCTCCGCCTCAGAGGAATCAGTGCGTGTAGAAAAAGATGCAGATTTTGCCCTTTCCACAGTCCCTTGCTCCATTTGGTTGCAGACACGCTTGACAGTTTCCGCGAGTACAGACGCAAGATCCGCCGCCCTTTCCGACTCACCTTGCGCGAGACAAATTGTCAGCTCCCGATGCAGGCGAAGCGCAGACGGATGCGTCCTAAAAACGGCCGTAAGTGTTGCCATCGGGTCTCGAGACTCTCGCAAAACACTTGTCGAGGCCGTCGTCGAGACAGCCGCTTCGTCCTGCCTGCTGCATCCACAGCGCTGCAGCAGCAGCGTTGCCCCTTTCCAGGAAGTTGCACCGCAGTTTGCCGGTAGCAGTAACGCACGTACGCCGGACCAACCTCTCATTTCAAACACCGTCCGCTGGGATCAGTGCCCTACAAGCAAAGAAAAGTGGTCACAAAAGAAAAAAAAAAGAGGAACCGAATACAAGCAACGGATCACATGAATATCACCTATAACTACAGATGCCGAACGTGGCCTTTGCCTCCCCCTCCCGCCCGAACAAAAAAAAAAGAAAAAAAGGGGAAAACATATATATATATATATTAGCTGGTCGTCTGCGTGACAACAGAAAGCGTTCGAAGAACACATCTCCGCCTCCCTTTTGTTGTGGGCTTCTTCGCTTCATTTCAGAAAAAAGAAGTAAAACAAAATGCGGGAGTTCAACGTCCATATTAGGCTTCTTTCGTCTGATTTTGTCCCTCCCCACAACGCGCATTGGGGACATCGAGAGCCAAACAATTGAACCGCATAGTGTACAACACATCTATCCATGGATGACAGCCAGAAGGCGAACACCCCGACAGAGACTACCCCAACCCCCGTGAACCTGACGCGCAGTCTGCCGACCGGCCTAGTAGCCCGCATAAAAATGGAAAGGCAACCAAGCAACCGAGGCAGAAGAAACAGCAGACAGCAAGATGCAAGGACAAAAGGAAAAAAAAAGAGAGAGAGAGAGACGAGGGGACACGAACTACAAAAAAGATTACACTACCAAGGAGGCCATGAATCGTTGAGCCAGCGATGGATCTAATTCTACACGTCGGACGAAAATGGTGATCCTCCCTCAGTTTGGCTTTCAAAAGTGAAAGTCTTTTCTGCTTGTCC